CGGTTTAATGTCTTATAAATAGAATCCATATTTGTGATCATTCAACAGTTCTGTTCAGGGATGATTAGGATGGCTGGTGTGCAAAACAAGAACGGTATGCCAGTACATTGAGGGCACTTTTACACAGAAAACGGGACTCTTCGGTCCAGAAGGAGGCTATTCAACCCATCTTATCTATGCCACTGCTGTTGTTGAAAATACCCTTTTAAAATCCACTTTCCAGCTCTTTCCTTATATTCATTAAACATTTTAAAATCTTCAGGTACTTACCTAGTTCCCTTTCAAATTATGTTATTGATCCACCCTCAAATAGTCAGTTTTAATGAAGCAATTCCTTCTTATACCTCTCCCTTGATTTTTCTGTTAACACCCTTTGGCAATGGGAAAAACACAAATTATTTGTGGAATAAAGATATGCTCCTTTTCCACAAGGTTATTAGCATATTATTGGAGCAGCGAAGAGGAAACTGTAAACTACATCTAACCTGTGCTGCGAATCATCAAAGAAAAGCTGACCTATTTCCTGGCTTTGGAATCCCTCATCTTAAAATACCACACTCAGCTGACTTGCTACAATCTGCTGTGCCAGCCATTTCTGGTTTAGAATCTAACAGAGGTAAACTCGTAATCTGGTAAAATGGATAAGCCACGTATAAATGTAATAAGGATTTACACCCTGCATAGCCACCCAGAAGGGTGGAAGGAACCCTTAAGGCCACAGACTCTTCAGCTAACGCCAGGACCTATTCTGTACTCTACAGAGGCTATGTCAGTTTCTCCACTTACCTGGAGAATGCTTTACTGGTAATGAAACTAATTTATGCTGGAAGATTTAAGTATCAGCTCAGGGACTCAGACTTGCGGCATCCTGATATGAGGGTTCTTGGTGTTGCATCACAGAGCAGCCGAGCTCCGGTTGGTTCTAAATCGAGTACTTTCCCGGCTCAGCTTAAAACTGTACAATTGGGGCTCCCGTAATGGTTTAGTGTATTTATGCAGTGAGTAGCTATGTGTGCAGTGTAAGAAGTAGTGTATTTGAACCATGTTCTATGCAGAGTTAGCTGAGCTCAGACAGGGCTCTACAATTGGCCTCAGTGTCCCCTTGTTACCAAGGGGAAGATAAGTCAGAGTTTCCAGCTTCTAACTACCTTCCAATGATCAATACTGGAAATGTACATATGTTGACAGCCAGTGAGAACAGTACTGGGCTCAGATGGGATGTCCCTGCCCACAAAAGGCCTTCCGACACTGACTCCCAAAGCTCATTCACGAAAAAGTCACTTAACAGGGTCCCAGGGAGGGCAGACCAATGTCTGTGAAACCATAATCCAGGAGAAGGAAAAAAACGTCATGGGTTTGCGGGAAAAGAGGAGGGAAAAATCCAAAATTCTAGTGTAACTCGGTTCATTTTTAATGGGTGAATGATTCATATATACCACAGTGAGAGTCCCACAGCGAATTAAGATAGAATTTTTAAAATAATTTTCCTACCTTACTCATTATCTTACATTTTAAAATGATGGTCTTGAGGGCTGAGTTCACAGGGCTTTCAGGGTTAAATTCAGTAAGAAGCGCAGCAACAAAGATCACTCACTGAGGAACAGAAGCAACAGACAAAGATAATCAGCAAACAGAAGTTTGAGCTTCTGTAAGGAAGAACTGGCCAGTGAAAAGTTAATAGTTGTTGGAACTTAGCAAGAATTTATATGTAAAACTTTAATTGCACTTTCCTTCCTTTTTTCCCCCCTTTCTATTTTTAAGATCTAATTTCCTCCCCCACTCTCACTGCGCCATGTAACTTTCCCTGGCTGGGAGTGTGGGAAAGCAGACTGCTCCCAGGCCTGTGCCAATACCCCTCGTCCAGCCACAAGGAAATGCATGAGTGAACTTGCTTGCTAATACTCTCTCTGCCTATGCAGTTTACACTCTGTGTACAAGGGCACAGCCAAGATGAGGAACTTATTGTAAGCACAAGCCCACATCCAACCACCCCACTTGAACGTGTTATTGAAGGGCTGAAACAATAAACCATTGACCAGGACTCCATCATACTCTCTAAACCAGTTATCAATTTAACCTACACAGCACTTTACAGATTTGTTTTATGCCCTAAAATTTCCTCTCCCTGCCTTTATAACTCTTAAAAACATCTGTTCACAGAGCCTTTGGTCAACTCCCTTACATTTTCCTTCCTGCTCAGTGCTCCCTATTGTCTTTCTGAAGCACTTGGAGACAGTTTTCCAATGTGAAAGGGCCAAAATCAGTCTGAGCTTTTGTTGACGGAATGGTTTTCAGTACATTTCTGTTTTACTCTAGCATCTGATGGCCATACAGAGTGCCATATCAATGCGTGTGAGTGCATTCTTTATGGTGTAATCGAACAGTGATTTTGTAGCACAGTTTAATCTCCCAGGCTAATGTATTTTACAACACAAGAACACCTGAGATGTCTGTAGTAGCTTTTTGTTCTTTCCACCTCTGGATCTATCTGCAACTCACGAGGAACAAGTTGTACGGTTCGCCTCACTCTGGGAATAGGAAACCACACAAAGCATCCTTCAGTACCTTTCACTGCTGCAAAAATATTACTGTAATCCTCCGAAGGTTCTGCATTAATGGTCGCTATGGGGACAGCCAAGTGAAAGATAAAGCTTCTGCAAAAATACTTTCAAATTGGCACATCTCTGCAATTCTGGATGTTAATTATTCCATCTCTGTAAGTAGAGGACACAGTTAAAATTGCTGTCACTGGTAAATGGAGAATCAGTCACTCCTAGTCACACACTTGCTTGCAATCATTGAGCGTTCTCTTAACACGAAGGGAAACATTGGGAACATTAAAAGTGACTGGGCTGATGTCGACCACGAGGGAAAAGTTCAAACGCCTGTACTTGTGACACAGAGCATATGCTACGCTTTGCATTTATATAGTGCCTTTCATCTCGGAAAACTAACTACTACCGAAAAAACGGTTTCAAAATTAAGACTGAATCCAACTATTTACCTAATTCTGGACACGCTGAAATGCTACATAAATAGAGTAAATCTAGAGCTAGATAGAATGCCCCCTCATTAGTGTTTTATACTAAATGCCTATAGGAGCTGGATTGGCTGCATCTGTCAAAGCGGGTGATTTACAATTTCTACAGGACACAAAACCATCTCACACATTTCGTTAGTACTGAAAGTCTTTGAGATAGGAGACCGCTGAATGGGAATCTTCTTCGCCACTTTCTCCCCTCTCAACCTCCTGCTTCCCCTCTTTCTCCGAAAAGAGCACCTGCAGCAATCCAATGCACCTCCAGCTCCAGATTGGAGTATCAACCTAGAATATGAGCTGATAAAGTCTTGAGATGGGGCTCATACCCACAGCTTTCTGATTCAGAGGTGAGAGTGCTAAAAGAGCCAGGCTGACATGCCATAAACTCTGTGAGCCAGAGCCCTTGCTGGTTGAGTGATTGAGCTAAGTAAGTGCTGTACAAAAACTCTTCATAATGGCCAAGTGCATCTCCGATTTATATCTTCGACAGGTCGAAGAAGAGTGGACCTTGAAGTATTGTACTATGCCCTCAGTAATCATGTGGAACTAAAGCAGCACACCTCCTCCTACAAGTGGTTGCACTGTCTTAGGAATATTTTGAGTGGCACTCTTAAGAACATTTTAAGAGAATCTCAACAAAGAAAGCTGCTTTAGATGTTCAAGGTTTCAATGACATTTGCCCGAGCTCAGCACTGAATGTACTTTGCAGTGTTTCTATAATAGAGTGCACAGATGATTCTGGATCTCTGATGCTGGGTCCTCACAGCCTTGGAAAATGTACTGAATCATCAAACCTTTGTGAACCTCGGAGTAAACCACTTGATTATTTTGTTGATCATATTCCTGCTAAAAAAAAACTAAATTTAATTAAAAATTAATCAATCCATGACTGTTGGTGGGACATTGCTGTGCGCATTTAGCTGCTGCGTTTCGCCCACAAAATACAGTAACTTCACTTTGCAGTATATCCTGTGAAGCTCTTCAAGACGTCCAAACGAGGTGATAAGGCGCAATATCAAATGCAAGGATTATTATTAGGATTATTACTATATTGAATTGTTCCTTCAGAATTGAAAGAATCTACTTGTGTTTTGGACGTTGGTGAAAGACCAAAGTTCAAATTGCAATATGGAGGCAGCAGCCCAGCTATAACTCTTTTTCCAGGAAAGGGGAGAGAATCTTCTCTGTGAAAGCATTGACGTACATTGTGGTTCAGTTTCACAGACACCGGGTGCCCTCCAGTATCTGGTGTCTGCAGCCATTCTTCATCGGAATTTGGAGCGGCAGGCAGGGCTCGGAGATTACGCCTTTGCCTTCACCCAACATGCACATATGGGCCCTTTCCAGCAATAGGTCAATGATCAGGAACAAGAAGCCGACTGATATTGTTTCCCATCTCTTCCTTCCCCTTTGCTGCGCCGTTTGAGATCAGCCAACTCAACAACAACCGCAACAACAACATGCATCTATAGGGTCCCACAGTTTCAGAACTCAGCACCCAGAGGGGATTTTCCTGCTCTTTATGGCTCAGGTCCACTCTAGGTAGTGGCTGTATGTACTGAGTCATGGGGGCATAAACTGTGATCAAAAAGTCGTGATACTATTACAATGTCTCACAGAAATTATATATATTTTTAAATAACAGGGTAGATATCACAATGTTTTGGTCACCCTGTACATTGGACTTTCAATTGCACGTTTGAATTGGTCTTTGGGTCAAATTTCATGAACCAAATGTAGTGTAATTACTACTGTGTTTGTGACTGGATACAAGATCCTTTGCCGTCTGTTCTTCTATTGCACATAAATCTTCGCTGCAACAAATGGACTGGGTTTGAACGATGCATAAACAGTTCAGAACTGCAAATTCGAATTGCCTAAGAAAAACTAGTGTCCGTCATTATGTTTAAAGGTTACTTAAGTATTTTTTTTCTCTCTTCTCTTCTCCCCCACCCCACAGAGATGTAATAAAAAGAATCGACCAATCTGAATTTGAGGGATTTGAATATATTAACCCATTGTTGGTGTCATCAGAGGAAAGCGTATGAAACCGAGCAGCAATTGAGAAGTGGACCCATTTTGCCCGTTTGTCAAAGGACAGGCTCAGTAAACTTCGGATTCCGAGCTCGACTCCCTGGAGTTTGGTAACTTCCTCCCCACCACCCCCCACCCCCCTCCTAACCTACCTGCATGCAAGGTTGTGGATCTGGTTCAAGTTTTCCAAGAGTATTGCAAACCATGGCAACTGCTGCTAAGCAACATAAACGAAGGTCATTTCAGTGGTCGTCTTCCACTAACAACCACAGGTTCTCTCATTATTTCCTGGGCATCGATTCAACTGGCATTTTGTTACTGAAGGGAAGACTGCCTGATCTGTGCCTGCTTCCATGAAGGAACGCTCCTTCCATTCCCTCAAGACAAGGAATTATATGATGGTTTCTCCGAAGGAACTTGAAGACGCTGCACTTTTCTCTCTCTTTATAAATAGATATTAAGAGGTCCGACCTCGAGAGAAAGAATGTACTGTACTATATTATTTAAAAAGAAGTAGTGGTGTGGGTGACTGCACCTCAACCTGTGATTGCCTTTCGACAACTGGCTAATGTGATTAAAAACCACTGGCTCTAAACTGTACATAAGCAATAATGAACAAGATTGTGTGCTTTATTGGTCAATAATGTGCACTAGGATTAATCTAGATGCCACACAGCTGAGAGGTCTAATCCAGGAATATTTCACTGGCCAATTATTCACACCTTCTCGTTAATTACTGCTATATTATATAATGCCATGGAACAGCTGGTCTTTGGGGAGAAATATCTGTATGTATCAATGCAGCGTGACACAGCTAGGTGTGTGTTAACCAATCGGCCCTCTCACCCAGGTTTGCACTGCATATTGCAATTAAGCCACATCATAATACTCTGGTACATTTTCACATGCTTTTCATTGGAATAATAATGCCATGATTGTGGTCTAGTGTTGTACCTTGGGGCTGCAGAGGAATTCAAAATATAACCATAACTATTCCTCCCTTAGACAAAATGTGTGTAATGATTGAGATGGTTACTCTGCATATTGATGCTTCAACACTAAATTGGTAGATATTGTAGTTTGAAAGCATTAGTTAAATGGGGTTGACTATGTTTGAACCCTGTAGAGTTATCGCAGGTAAAGTCACTGACGGGCACATTGACAGGGAGCCTGTACTGAACACTTTAGACACCAAATCTAACTAACCAGCAGAGGGGAACGTATTCATTTTTGAAGCAGGACCCTCTTCAGAAGCCATAATGTGACAGATGATTTTTTTTGTTTCTTACAGCTTTATTAGTTTATTTAAAAAGAAACGTACATCTTTCTGTTCAGCCTGAAACCCAGAAATTCAGCAACACCGCATCTGGATTCCATGGTCAGTTTTGGAGGCAATTGGGTATCCAGTGAATGTGCCATCAGTTAGATTGCAGTTATTCAGAGTTGGTCCAACGATTCTAGACGTGAGGAAGGATGGGTGGTGGGGTCACTGGTGCAGAGACTGTGGGAGGGATAAGGAGAGACTGCTCGGATGTACTCCCCATTCTTCCATACTTCACTTGGAAATGGTGTGATCTGGTGCATTGTATCAGAGAAAAGCTAACTTGCGTCAGAGGGAAAAAATGTTAGTCTAACATCCATTGTTCTCCCACCCCCAGCACTCTGGAAAAACTGACTGAAATAGCTCGGCAATAGCTGCTTTTGTTGTAATTGGTAAATACCCAGTTAGCCCAAGCTCTCTGCACTAACCATAAAACAGCGTAAACAATTACTGCAGGTTGATTTATGAATCCCGCTGGAAATGCAGAATCCAAACTTTGGCTTTATTTTATTGTGGGCTGGAGCCAGATTTCTCATTCGCTGACTCTTTAACCCTCCCACCCCACAGTGCTGATGTAAATGCTTGCAATGCTGAGTTTTCCGGTGGTTGTAAAATGATCTCTGAATGTAATGTTGTTTTTGTCTGTTACAGATTGCCTCCTCCTCCCCCCTCTCCCCATTGTGGTAACATTCCTATTGGACAGCATCCATTTGATTCACAAATTGCTGCACAATTGTTGAATGTTATTTATGTCAAAAAAAAACTAGGCGTGCAGGGAGGAACCTTCTCCTGCAGTACTGTGGCAGTTTGTACAGACCTGTATGAGATTTGTCTTGATATGTGAGGGGCGTGGGTGGGGGGTGGGGGTTGTAATGCAAAGTTAAACCTCAGCACTTTTTTAATTCAAACCATCCATGGCATTATATAATGGCCAGTAATGCGTAACTCTTAGCCAGTCAGATTTTTACCATCTGAACTGCGGCAATACCAAGTGTAAACGGCTGCCAACTATGGGGGTCTATCTATGAACTGAAGTATAAAGCAGTGGTCTCCCTTTCTGTTGCCAAATACGCCGCCGTTCGGAAGCTCGTTCCTCTCCAGTTTTGCTGTATGTGTGAGATGTGTCGTTCCCCCATTCTCTCCCCCCGCCCCCCCACCCCCAACTTAGTTGATTTATCATGACTGGTGCGAAGGGGGAACAATTTTATATTTTAACTATTCCATTTTTTTAAATTCAGAACAAATTATGAAGGTTGTTATTTCAATGTGCGATTTAAAACAGAATAACTTTCCTGAGGTCAGGCCAAATGGATGTACGGTCTCCCAGGCAGACAGAGCAGAGTTTAGAAATGCGACACTGTAACTGTGTTCAATCAGGGGCAAATGCTGGGAAATAGTGTTGGATTTAATCGTTCCTTTTTCTAAAAAAAAATTATTATTGTAAGTATAAACGAGAACAAAGAGAAGCACAGAGTCGCAAACCATTAGGACTCCACGTTTCAAATTCAAACCTTTTATATATACTGTACGTGTATATGCACACACACCACACAGAGAGAGAAACAAACAAGAGGCAGAATTGCTGAATACAGAACGATTCTGGTGCTCGTGACTTTGATGTAATGACCAGCCCACAGCAGGCCCATCTGTCAGTGTGGAAACTCGAGCTAACCACTCAAGAAAGATGTACTGATAAAGTGCGCCCAATCTTTCTGTATAATTTCTTTTTTTTTAAAAAAAATGCAAAGCCAGGAATCCCACAAACTCAGATTTACGAAAAAGGCAATGTACAAATTAATTAAATTTCTCCTTTTTTTAAAAAAAACTTTTTTTCCTTTCCTCGCTCGCTCCTCTTTGTACCTTTGCTGCTCATCCAGCCAAGTCAGATTTCAGCCCCTAGAGACATCTCAACAAGAACCTGCAACGTTTACCTATTGCTACCTTTCCCAAAATGCAAATTAATAGGATAATACGACCCTACAATTTGGGTCTTCAAGAGCGCTCCGATACTGCCCCGTGTGAAGGCGCTATATAAATGCAAGTTGTTATTATGATATCTACTCATTTGGACAGAGAACCATGTGTTGGTTAACAAATCCTAAGCAATGCAGTGTTGCAATCATTACTTCTATTTCAGCTTCCCTGACCATAGTAGAAAGGCTCTTTTTTTCTCTTTTCCCTTAAAAAAAAGTGTCTGGTTGCCAAAGAATAGATGTGATTGTTGATTTTGACAGTCAGATGTGCAAATCAATTTCTAAATTAGCAATACAGACCTCCAGCTGAGCTTACTCCCTCTCCTAGCTCAGGTTCTCTCATGGTAAGTAGAAGCTCACTTTTATATTAAAAAAATTGGTCCATTGATGATTTTAGGGCATTTTTGGGTCACTCTCCCCCCGCCCAGCTGCCCACAACGTGCCTGCTTCCATTTTTTTTATTAAATAGTCTGAACTAGCTGGTCAGTATTTCACTGTTTTTCAGCTGTTTTCTAATCCTAAGCAATGCACAGCTGTTTTCTTGTGCCATTTAAGACACGTAGACTCCACTACGCTACCGTAATTTAGCAAAAAAACGACTAGTATTTAACTCATTTAGGATTTTTAAAAAAGGAGATGGGTGGGGAGGGGGGAGGGTGTAGAGGCGAGGGACATGCGGCCTAATCTGCCCCCGATATTCTACACCTCTTTTACTAGTTGTTGCATTTAATTTCATTAAGTTATTAAACTATTTGCACATCAGGAGAAAAAAACCTAATTGCTGGTCTTTTCACGTCACATGTACAGTACCTTTGAGTGAAAACTAGTGTTTCAAGACCGTGCCTGTGGACGATTATTATCAGTTTGGTCTGACCTGTCGGGGTCTAATGAGGCTCTGGTGCGGGTGTACAGTGATCTAACTTTGATCAGTCCTTAATGAGAAATTAGAGCTAATTTAATGATTGTAAAATAGTGAAATGTTCATTGTAGTTATTTTGTATATGACAGTTGATTTATGGGTGTGAATTGTATTGTTCTTGCCTATTCTCATAAAAAATGCTAATTTCAAAAATCATTCTTAAGACTTCAGTGCCGTTTGACGATTGATCTTTATTGTGCAGGAAATGGTGGAACTAATCTATAACCGGTGGTCAGATCCAAGCTTCATCCTAGCCCATCTGAATTAAAGAATCTACTGGAAGCGTAACAAAGCTAATTCCATCATATTCAGTCTGATGTGCTTTCTCAGTGTTCAGTGCAAAAGGAGAGGGGGTCATTGCAAACATCTCTTCCTACAGCTTGTGTCAACAATCGCACCAGGCAACACAGTTCTACGAAAGGGATTGCCAAAAAAAGAGATCAAGTTTGTTTGCATCAGTAATTCGACTGAGGCAGAAATCCTTTTAAAGCCATTTCCTTGAAAAGGATAAATAAATTGCAACCATGGAAGACGGGGGTGGGGAAGGGCTTGATCACATTACAATTTATAATGGGTATTTACAGTCAACAGCAAATACGATGCACAGAATACCAACGTTTTGCCCAATTCTGTGTAGCAGTAGTTTTATTCCTTACAGCGTTACCACATCACATCCTCTGTGCTTTCGGAGAGACATTTGGCCAGGTGGCAATCAACCTCCAGCTGGGAGCAACTGCAAAAGAAAATCAGGTAAAGTCATTTACCTACAAGTTCAGCAATCATGTTCTTTCCATTTGTGATACAGAGAGCATCTCCCTAAGTGAAACTGCGTGATTTGCAGGACATCTCCCCAATTCTTGTGTCTGATATGTAGGATCGCTCTCTCTCATGGTATTATTATATGTGTAATATGCAAAATATCTCTTGCTAGTCATAAAGGTGTAACATGGGCTATACAGTAAATCTTGTGAAGCGCATTGAGATGACCTCCTGATATGAAAAGCACTATATCAGAATATCACAAAGATTTGCAAAGAAAGTATAGCACGGAAACAGGCCTATACTCCACACAAATATCCCCACATTCCTTTACTCCTTCCCACATTCTACTATTCCCCTCACCCTCATGTGAAGGTCTACCTTCCTATTGAATGCATCCACATTGTTTTCTTAACGGGTTTCCTTAATCCAGTATCTGCTGGAATTCCTTTTGACCGGCGACAACCTCACTCAGTAAGTACAGCGCATTGAAGTCGAAAACCCCCTTTGGTCAGTGACGCATTTCCAGTTACCAGAAAGTCCCAATTTGCTCAACAAGGAATCCCATTAAGAAGTACAGTACTGCAAATCAGACCTGATTATGTGCATTTGGCAGGTTCGGCTACTCGCAGGACATACCCACTGAGCCATCAGGGGAGCCCTTGCAGCCAAACTCTAAAAGACATATGCAGCAGGGTTTTAGCTGGTCTGGAACCAAAGCTGGAGGTGCTCAGTCTCTGAGAGGAGCTGCAATCTACCAGACCGTGTTCTCTCGCTTCACCGATCCCAGACCTCACCCCTTAGTCTTGAAGAGTAAAGTCTCTGCCCTGGCAGCCAACTAGGTCGCACCACAGTTTGATACGACCTCGACATGTGCCCCTGATTTGTTGGATCACATGCAGTGGGATCAGGACAGAAATACAGTATAAAGAACTTGCATTAGATACAGCGCCTGTAACTATTGCAAAACTCTTCACAGTAATTACTGTTAGGTGTAGTGACTTTTTTTATAGGCACATTCAGCAGTCATGTAGCATAAGTGCACAAGTAGCTATGAAGAGAATGACCAGTTTAATTGTAGGACTGTGGGCCTGGATAAAAGAGAAACTCCTTTCTCTTTTCCAATACTATCAGAAAATCTTTAATGTATTGTCTGAAGGTCTCACCTCCAATATTGCAGGGCTCTCTCCCCCCCCCAGTTACGCAGGAGAACCTTCTCCTATATCTTTTTAACAAGATCATGAGCGTTTCGGATAAAGAAGGCCCTTTGGCTAATTTGACCTCATCCTTTCAGAATAACCACAGTACCACTTCTCTCACTATAAAGTCAAGCTGTTTCTTAAGTTGAGTCCCAGTGGTCTGGCGTCTACCACCCTCTGGGTTAATTACCCCTGTGTTCAAAGAAATATTTCCTGGTGTTTGGGGGTACGGAAAAGTTAATTTCTACTCTGGTGGGGGGGCAAGGGGTGAAGGCAGATATCTTGTTCCCTCCTACTCTATGCATTATATTCTGGTGGCCTACCTCACCGATTCCCTGATGATTTAAAAGGAGTAATGATGTGGGGTGGAAAAGCATTAGACCTTCTTCCCACTCACTAATAACTCCTTCTTGGCAATCGTGCTGGTTTCTTTCGGGACCAAGTTTCTAAACGGAATCTCAGATCAATGCGGTCGATGTTCATCTCTTGTTGGTGAATATAAAAAAAAGTGGCTGCAGAGGCTTCAGAATTAACGCACATAAATGTTCTTTCCATTTGTCCTTGGGTTGAACAGCGACCTCGTGATGGGAGTGCAAGGTCTATAACAAGGCTCCTTCAGTCTGTGCTTCCAGAGAAAGGGAACCGAAGCTGGACTGAAGGTTTAACATCATTTAATTCTTCTTCACATTGGTCAAACTTTACCATTCTTAAAGATTTCTATTTGCAGATATTGTATTGCAAAAAAGATAGAGAATGTGAATTTTTTGAATTCTCCGAGGGAGAAACCAGGGATACGAAGGGAGGGACGAGACAAAACACAGCAGGAAAAGAATGTGCGGCCAGGGTAAAGGATACAGAAAGTTCAAGGCAACAACCTCGAATAGGGAGTTGTGCGTTCTGCAGCGAGGATTACAGAGGTGGTTGTGTCAAAGACGTAAACAAATCCAACTCTGTCCTCTTGAAGTTGACTGAGGTCAATTCTAGCCCCAAAGGCCTGGATCAGCCAACTCAACACAGATCTGGGATTGAACCCTGGGGGCTTCTCAGTCAGACTGGGGTTAGCCACTCGCAGGATAAACCAACCGACCAATCCGTTAACTCTCGCTTTATCCATGTAATCTTGTGCTCGAGAGGATTCACTGCCTTGGTCCCAGTGCGTAGTCCATCCATCTGTACAAATTGCATTGCAAATGCAGCACTATTTACCGTGGTTCATTGACAGCCAGTGGTTTTATGCCAAACAGACTGCTCCTGTGATCAAATCCCATGACTCGACTCGGAACAGAAGCGGGATTGTACAGGGATAAGAACCGCAGGAATAGCAGGAATACACGTTTCCCGGGATGTTACAAGCAGAGAATTGTAGCTGGTTTAGCTTCTGCCGCAAGGACAGGTTTTGTAAAACCATTTCCCGTTTCACTCAACAGCGTCTGAGGTTCAGTCGATAGAGCTCTCATCTCTGAGTCAGAAGGTTGTGTGTTCAAGCTCCACATTGAGACTTGAGCTCACAGTTCAGGCTCGGACTCCAGTCTAGCGCTGGGGGCATTGTTGTCATTCAAATGAGCTGATAAACCAAGCTCCCATCTCCCTTTCAAATGAATGTATCTCTTGGACACTCTTGGAAGAGTGATGTGTGTTTATCCCGGTGACCTGGCCAAAAACCCTCCAGATAAATTGGTCATTCACTTTGTGGCTGTTTGTGGGCCCTTCCTGTGTACATACTGGCTGCCGCGTTCACCTACAAAAGACAGTCACTAAACTTGTGAGTAATTGCAATTAAATGTGAAACTCTGGCCGAGCAACGCCCAAGTAAGCGAGAGCTCAGGCTTTGCCCACAAAACAGATCGGAATTCATTCCTGATCCTCCCCCACCTCCCATTCTACTATTAAAACAGAAAAAGATAGGATTTCTGTCAGTGTTTGCCTTGCCGCAGATTGCCAAAGGTCCTCCTATCTTGTGCTCTCCCTTTCTCTCTGTATACCTCCCCACGTCTTTCTCAGTGTTTGCGCGTCTCTCTATCTGTGTCTTGGTATTTGTGCGTGGGTGTCTGTCTGTCTGTATTTCACACTCACTCATGCACATTTGAATACCTAAGACTGACAGAATGTCTAAACCTAGATAAATATCCTTCTGCTTAGCCTATCAATGTCCCACTTTATTGTGTCTTGAACTGGAACACAGGCTATTTTTCAACCTCAAAATGTTTTTGTGGCCAGAAATTTCCAACCTTGAAAACATATTTCCTTTTTATTTTGATATTTCTTATGACTTTTTTTAGAATCAACATCTGGGGTATCAGTGAAGCATTAAACCTTCCTCTTGCAGTACTGTAGGATCCCAGAGTCCTGCAGCTCAGTTGTTGGAGCGCTCGCCTTGCAAGCGAGAGATCTGGGTTTGATTCCCGTCAGGGCGAAACGAAAGGTTGGGCAAGTTTCCTTACTCCACACACCTGTGTTTACCTAGCAGTAAGTAGGAACCTGGTTGTTAGTCGGTTGGCGAATCGCTTTGCCGGGGGTAATAATTCCTTCAAAAAAACAATAATTGGTCACTCAATCTATGACTGTCTTGTGGGACACTGTTGTGTGCAATTGGCTGCGTTTCGCCCACAAAATATATAGTCAGTTCACTTTACAGTATATTCTGTGATAAGGTGCTATATTAAATGCAAGGTTTATTATCCCAAACTCCCCACTCCACCTCCCCAACATTCGTGATGTTGGGAAACACGGTGGAAGATGACATCCAATCTCGCTGGAATGGGCTCAAGTTTTTAAAAGCTTAAATCCTGAGGTTGTAGATTCAACAGATCACTTGAAAAGTAACTCTCCCATTTCCCCACTTATTACACACCGCAGAGAAAAAAAAACATGTTCAATAGTGTCTTACAAAACATCTCAGATCGCTTTACAGTAATTACTGTCAAGTGTAGTGACAAACGCGGCAGCCAATTTGCGCTTAGTAAAACCCCCATAAAACAGCCGTGAGGTGAAGGGCCAATTTATTTGGAGGATTTGCAGCTAAGGAAACTCCCTTTTTTTTGTGTGGGTTGGATGGGTGGGTGGGGGTGAGGTAATGACCAGAGCAAAAGAAAAGAAGGGAAAGAACAGTATACAATCCACACTAATTGGGTCAGACAATATTGTCTGTATGAGCAGTGTGGATCTCTGTGTCGGTGTGTGTGTGCAGGTCGCTCTCCCTTTCTCTGTCATCTCGGTGCTGTTCTAACTATAGTCCATTAAATATAAGCGGTATGGTTCCTCACAAACAAACCTACCCGGCAGGAAAGTGTGCCAGACACATTGGGCAGCTTCTGAGAGTCAGGCTTCCTTTTGGCCCGTCGCTCCACACTTTGGTGACTGAATCTCCTGCTGCAGTCTGGCCGGTGCCGTGTTGCCCATTTTCTGTAAACGGAGAGTCCTGGCTTTCTACTATAATGATATCACTGTCGTCCTCGTCCTCCGCTGCGCGCAGTGTTCTCCTTGGTGACACTTGCTGCCTCTTCGCCTCTCTGTGCCCCGTTGGCAGGTCACTTTGTACCTCGGGGTCCGAGCCTGGCCTCCCTGTGTTTCTCTGTGGGGGTGGGTTGGGACCGTCAACAACATCAGATGACATATGTCCTCGCCCATGTCTCTCCTTCGCTGGGGAACGTTTCTTGTACTTTGCTGCATGTTGTCTTGGCTCTGCTCCAAAGACATCTTCAGATCTCACATTCCCTGTGTAGCACTTTGCCCATCTGCCATGGCTTTCCTGTGCAACGCCCAGCCCGGCTGCTGCCTGAGTGGAAACGGCCTCCTCTCCCTCCCGCTCCGGCACAGGTGTCTGTCTCTGGATTGCTGGGGGCTGGGCCGGGGGCGGCCAACCCTGCCTGGTGCCAGCGTCTCCGCTGCCTCCCGCCGTTTTTCGTCGCGGTTTGCGGTCCAGTCTCACGGTCATTGCATCGCAGGAGGGTGGAAACGGCAGCCACGTGAATAGTCTTGAGCCTGCGGAGAAGGTCTCAGTCCCAACATACTCGCTCATCGCGGGGGCCTGTTATTTGGAAGGGGAGAAAAACATTGCTAACATCAAATTGTTTGAGTAACCCGATACGTTTCACGACAACACATCCAACTCCCCAAGCTCATATCCAACATTCCCTCACAGAAAATTTGTGGTATTTCTTACAGTGGGATTCCTTAGAGGTATTCCCATAAAAACTCCGCTCCTGTTCTAGATCGCATTGGAACACCGTATGCCAGTGTGTTGAAGTTCCAATTACTGGGAAGGGAGGGTTGGGGGAGCCAGAGAAATGGGAAAGGAGGGAAGATACCTCACTTGGGCAACTTGGTTTATTAAGAAAAATCCCGTTAAGAAACACCGGAAATTAGACCTTAATGGGGATTTTCATTTTCCCTTAATAATAAATAATAATCCTTGCGTTTGATAGAGCTCTTTATTACGTCCAGAGGCGTCTCAAAGCGCTTCACAGAACATACTGCAAAATGTATTGATTGTATATTTTGTGGGCGGAACGCTAAAGTTAATTAAGGCGACTGCTTAATTCAATGATGCAAGTCTCCAAACATGCTGCTAACCCCATCGCAGATTGCAAGAGAGACAGAGAACGGGTGAGACAGACTCCCCGCATTAACATTTTTTCAGCAGACTGTGGAACCAGACTTTTAGCGACCGGTACTTCAATAATTATTATGATTCCTTCTATGTACATAGCAACAAATCCCAGGCGGCTGCTTATTCTGACAGGGAAGTAATTGGTTTTCTTTATTATTAAGCTTTTCAGGCAAGGTCGCTTGGTCACCAGCAAAGCATTCTGCAGCGTGCGTGGCAGTCGGTTCTGCACTTAGCTCTCCCACACAAGTACTGCAGCTGCTTAAACCGGGCAAAACAGGGGAGTCACAATCGGCTCGAAATCATTCGTTGTGCGAGCTCTTTCTCGCGGGTATTTCGTTCGATTTTAGAGCAGGAAGAGAGAAGAAAATTCACCATTTCCGTAGCATCCTGAAGCACTTCGCAGTAAAACAAAGAAACAGAAGTCAGCCATTCAGCCCCTCGAGCCTGTTCCACCATTCTATAAGATCATGGCTGATCTGTACCTCAAGTCCAATTATCTGCCCTTGCCCCATATCCCTTAATGCCATTAATATTTAGTAATTATGGTCAAGTGTAGTGACTGTCACTGTTAATAAGCAGCTGCAGCAGCTGTTATGCGCACAGCGAGATTCCTCATGTAGCCATGAAGTGAATGACCGATTTATCTGAGCAGGTTGTCAACAAGGAAGAAGAAACTTTTCTCTTTTTCCCAAGCAAGAGGACCTGGGTTTGATTCCCAGGTAGGGCGAAACCTTAAGCAAGTTTCCTTACTCCATACGCCTGTTTACCTAGCAGTAAGTAGGAACCTGGTTGTTAGTTGATTGGCAGATCACTTTTCCGGGGGAAATAAATCCTTAAAAAAAAATTGGCTACTCAATCCACGACTGTTTGGGGACGCTGCTGTGCGCAATTGGCTGCCGTGTTTCACCCACAAAATACACAGTCGATCCACTTTACAATATATTCTGTGAAGCACTTTGAGATGTCTCAACGTTGTGATAAGGCGTGATTATTATTATAGTGCCGGGGATCTTTCATGTTGAGCAGGAGGGGAGGGGTAAGAAGGGTTGAGATTCCTTCTCGTGTGCTGCTGCACTATCAGAGGGAAAAAGAAAAGTCATTCTTTGTTTAAGAAAAACACTTCACCCGTTTGCCAAAATTGCATTGGCTGAACTTCCCAGTGGCTGTGAAGCAGGATTACAAAAGTATTGTGGGTTGGGATAAAGAGAGGGGGGAGGACAACAGAGATTAAAAATTTGCCTGGAAGTCCATTGCTTTATATGCAAACCTCAGAGGGGGTGAGAGAACGGGCCATCAATTTAAGATAATTACCCAAAAGACAAGAGTGTAGAATATTTTTCTTTTATAAACACACATTGAGGGTTGTTAGGATGCAGAATGTTCAACCCAAAACATTGCTTGAAGCAAAATCGTGAGAGGTTTTATAAAAAGGGAATTGGAGAATCAATTGAAAACGAAAGACATAGATGTGGGCGCTTGTATGTACCTATGTTTCACCAGCCATGATAAGTTGAATGGCCTCCTTCTACAATTCTAAGTTGGCCTTGCCCACCACCCTGTAGTCCTGTAGCTCAGTGGTTAGAGCACTCGCCTTGCAAGCGAGACACCTGGGTTCAATTCCAAGGCAAAACCTTGGGCAAGTTTCCTTACTCCACACAATCCCTCCAAAACAAAAAACAATAATAAATTGGTCATTTTCAAAAATCCATGACTGTTTATGGGACACTGCTGTGCACAATTGGCTGCCGCATTTCGCCCACCAATATATGGGCAATTCACTTTACAGCATATCCTGTGAAGTGCTTTGAGGCGTCTGGAAGATGTGAAAAGCGCTATATCAAATGCAAGGATTATCATTATTATTATCCTCAAGATAATGAATCCTTGCATTTGATATAGTGCTTTTGAGATGTCTCAAAGCGCTTCACCGAATATATTGTAAAATGGATTGACTGGGAGGCAAAACGCGGCAGCCAATTGCACACAGAAGTGTCCCACGAACAGCCGTGGATTGAGGGACCAATTTTTTGGGGGAGAAATTATTACCCCGGAAAATAATCCACCAATCGACTAACTGAATTGAACCCGGGTCCTCTCGCTTACGAGGCGAGTGCGCTCACCACTACGCCTCGAGACTCCACGAAGGATCAATCCCAGTTAAACTCGTGGAAAGAAAGGGCTGAGTAGTGTCAAGTCAGCCGTGTTGTGTGGAACTGATGGCTTTAGCAGAGAAGATCAACACAGCGGCTGAGACTTGCTTCGATGCAGGGCTACACCACCCCCCACTTTAGATCTCCGTTGCACTGGGGCTTGGAACCCAGCAGGGAACCGGGGTCAAACTGCGGACAAGAAAACAAGATGTGTTGCTTTTGGGAGCGCGGCTCAGTGGGCGACTGGTGCTGGATAAATAACTATCATCGAGCGCATGACATTCTGCTGGCTCGGCCCGGCTGTCTTGGGACTCAGGAACGACGGCCCAAGGAACGCCTGGGTTCAAGAACATGTCTTCTCACGTTTGTCCCTGGGGAACTGGCAGTGTAACCTGCACTTGAGCAAGAAGACGTCACTTTTACACCTCACTTATCATCCTTGCGTTTGATATGGTGCCTTATCGTGTCGCTGAGACGTCTCAAAAGCGTTTTGCAGAATACACTGTGAAGTGTAGCGACTGGATTTCGTGGACGAAACGGGGCAGCCAATTGGACTCAACAGTGTCCCGCAAACATTCATGGATTGAGTGAGCAAATTGTTTTTTGGTGGTGGTGGTGGTGGTGGTGGGGTGGGGCACGGCTAAGTAACCCCCCTAAAAAAAAAACCTCCCCAACAAAGCAGAGCCTGGGGATGTGAAATAAGAAAGAGCACACGGGGACATTAAACAAATAATTTAAAGCGACTGAGAGAGAGGTATACGGTACCTTCGCAGTGCTTTGTGGCAGGTCTGGCACTGTCTGCCAAGCTGTCAGTTTCGTGTCTGACGACACAGTTTTCATCAACAGGGCCCACACTCTGTCAGTTTGATTCACGTCAGTGTGGCCCAACCACGTGGAACTGGCCCTCGGAGGGAACCTGCGAGACGGAGAGCAATTAGGGCCGACGAGCAACGAACCAGACTTTCGCTCTCACGTTCACCTCGGTCCCACGCACCCGGCGCCGCAGTCGATCGCACACCCGAAAAGTAGGTCATTTCACTTCGCGGCTGTTTGTTTGGGGGGTGGACGAGAACAGACGTTTGCTGCGTACAAAGTGGCTGTCGTGTTCACCTACAAAATACACAGTGCAGTAATTTGGGGGCGGTGGGAGGGGGGGGGCTCTATCAAGCGCGAGAACTTTTACGACCCACTAATCCTTGGGTTTCATTACACCGCTTCACAGGGAATCGTCGCCGGTGTAGTGACTGTAGCCAAACTCAGAAGCCGAAGCTGTCCCACGCACAGCCATGGGGTGAATGACAAATTAATCGAGCGCTCTGCTGCCGGACAGAGACCTCGGGGTTAATGCCCCATCCGCAGGGCGACCCCTCTGACAATGCAGCGCTCCCCTCGGTCCTGCACGAGAGCATCGGCCTTGGATAGTCTCGCCCGCAACGTGCGCGGTCCTACTTCACTTTACAGTGTATCCTGTGAAGCGCTTCGAGACGTCTCGAAGACACGTTCAGGCGCTGTATCAAAGGCAAACATTAGTATTGTTATTATCATTAGACTTTAAACTCATAAAGTCCCGATGGTATTCCTAAATAAATGGGACAGAACTCGCAGTTAAAGAGATGTCCTTTTAAACCCGTCTCTAACAACAGGTTGAAGGTCCCCCCTCCCACCCCCCCCCCACCCACCACCCACCCACCGTTTCCCCGATGCTCACTGTGGGGCCCGAGCTCCGGGTCGAGCTGTCTGGGGGGTGCGGGTGGGGACGGGGGGCTCGGGGGCAGCCATTCTCCTCCGCTTCAGCCGCAGCCTCTTCTCTTCGGCCATCAGCTCCGCACAGCGGCTGTAAAGCAGAGGGGTGACTCCAGTGCGACACCGAGTCGGACACCCAGTGCGACAGTCGCACGGAGGGAGCGCGACAGTCGCACGGAGGGAGCGCGACAGTCGCACGGAGGGAGCGCGACAGTCGCACGGAGGGAGCGCGACAGTCGCACGGAGGGAGCGCGACAGTCGCACGGAGGGAGCGCGACAGTCGCGCGGAGGGAGCGCGACAGTCGCGCGGAGGGAGCGCGACAGTCGCGCGGAGGGAGCGCGACAGTCGCGCGGAGGGAGCGCGACAGTCCCGCGAGGGAGCGCGACAGTCCCGCGGAGGGAGCGCGACAGTCCCGCGGAGGGAGCGCGACAGTCCCGCGGAGGGAGCGCGACAGTCGCGCGGAGGGAGCGCGACAGTCGCGCGGAGGGAGCGCGACAGTCGCGCGGAGGGAGCGCGACAGTCGCGCGGAGGGAGCGCGACAGTCCCGCGGAGGGAGCGCGACAGTCGCACGGAGGGAGCGCGACAGTCACACGGAGGGAGTGTGGCCGTGAGTGTGACTCAGACACCAATACCAATGACTGTCACACTCACCAATACCAGTAACGATTACCCCCCCTCAGCCCTCGCCCGGGGGTCCCCCCACCCCCCCCCGGGCTCTCTCTCCCCCGCCTCACCCAGGTGTCTCCCCCCCCTCGCCCGGGGGTCTCTCCCACCTCTCACCCAGGTTCTCTTTGAGGGGTTTCTCCTCCCACCCGGAGTCTCTAACCCTCCCCCTCTACCCGTCTCACCACCTGGGGTCTCCCTCTCCCCCGGGGTCTCCCCCCTCCCCCAGGGTCTCTCCCCAGGATCTCCCCCCCCCAGGGGTCTCTCCCCCCCTCCCCAAGTCTCTCCCCCCCTCCCCCAGGGTCCCTCCCCCGGGTCCCCCCCCCTCCCCCAGGGGTCTCCCCCCCCCCCTCCCCAGGGTCTCTCCCCCGGGTCTCCCCCCCTCCCCCGGGTCTCCCCAGGGATCTCCCCCCAGGGGTCTCTCCCCCGGGTCTCCCCCCCCCCCAGGGTCCCCCCCCCCAGGAGTCTCCCCCCAGGAGTCCCGCCCCCCCCCCCCAGGGTTCCCCCCCCCCAGGGGCTCCCCCCAGGGTCTCCCCCCCCCCCGGGGTCTCCCCCCCCCTCCCCAGGGGTCTCCCCCCCGCCCGGGGTCTCCCCCCCCCTCCCCCAGGGTCTCCCCCCGGGGTCTCCCCCCCCCTCCCCCAGGGGTCTCCCCCCTCCCCCAGGGGTCTCCCCCCCTCCCCAGGGGTCTCCCCCCAGGGGTCTCCCCCCCTCCCCCGGGGTCTCCCCCCCCTCCCCAGGGGTCTCCCCCCTCGCCCCGGGGTCTCCCCCCCCCTCCCCCAGGGGTCTCCCCCCGGGGTCTCCCCCCCCTCCCCCAGGGGTCTCCCCCCCCTCCCCCGGGTCTCCTCCCCCCTCCCCCCGGGTCTCCCGCCCCTCCCTCAGGGGATCTCTCCCCTTTCTCTCAGGGGACAGTTTGGCGCCCAAAATCCTCTTAAAGCGGCGGCGCGGCTCATGGACGGGGGCGCGGGGGGTGAGGGGGGGGCGGGGGCTGAGGGGGGGTTTAACCCCACAAACGCGCGGTGAGGTCCAGTCTCTCTCACCCGCTGACGGACGGCGACAGTCTCCGCAATGACAATTAGTGTCCACAAACCTTAATTAAACCCAAAAGGCTTCAGAGCCTAAAAGCCCAACTTCCGGTCCTGACGGAGCGGTGAGGCGCCCCCTGTGGCTGATCGGTGTAACTGCGGCTTCCTGGCCCTCAGTCACTCCTCCCTCCACCCCCTCCTCTCACTCCATCCTCATCCCTCACTCCACTCCCCTCACACCTTCCTCATCCCTCACTCACCCCCTCCCTCCATCTCCTCACACTCCCTCACTCCACCTCCTCCCTCCATCTCCTCACACTCCCTCACTCCACCCCCTCCCTCCCTCCATCTCCTCACACTCCCTCACTCCACCCTCCCTCCCTCCATCTCCTCACACTCCCTCACTCCACTCCTCCCTCCATCTCCTCACACTCCTCACTCCACTCCTCCCTCCATCTCCTCACACTCCCTCACTCCACCCCCTCCCTCCCTCCATCTCCTCACACTCCCTCACTCCACCTCCTCCCTCCATCTCCTCACACTCCCTCACTCCACCCCCCCCTCCCTCCATCTCCTCACACTCCCTCACTCCACCCCCTCCCTCCCTCTCCTCACACTCCCTCACTCCACCCCCTCCCTCCATCTCCTCACACTCCTCACTCCACCTCACCCTCCTCCATCTCCTCACACTCCCTCACTCCACCCCCTCCCTCCCTCTCCTCACACTCCCTCACTCCACCCCCTCCCTCCATCTCCTCACACTCCCTCACTCCACCCCCTCCCTCCATCTCCTCACACTCCCTCACTCCACCCCCTCCCTCCATCTCCTCACACTCCCTCACTCCACCTCCTCCCTCCATCTCCTCACACTCCCTCACTCCACCCCCTCCCTCCATCTCCTCACACTGCCTCACTCCATCCCCTCCCTCCATCTCCTCACATCCCTCACTCCACCCCCTCACTCCACCCCTCCCCTCCCCCTCACTCCATTACACCCCCTTCCTCCATCTACTCACACTCCCTCACTCCACCTCCTCCCTCCCCTCACACCCCCTTACTCCATCCCCTCCCCCTCCCTCCATCTCCTCACATCCCTTACTCCACCCCTCCCTCCATCTCCTCACATCCCTTACTCCATCCCCTCCCTCCATCTCCTCACATCCCTTACTCCATCCCCTCCCTCCATCTCCTCACATCCCTTACTCCATCCCCTCCCTCAATCTCCTCACATCCCTTACTCCATCCCCTCCCTCCCCCTCACTCCATTACATCCCCTCCCTCCATCTCCTCACCCCCCCAGGCTGAGACCAGGTGGAATCTTTCAATGAACTAATGCGAAGGTGAGTTAACAGTCCACCCCCTCCCTCCCTCCCTCCCTCCGCGGTTCCGAAACCCGGCCGTTAACGCTTGTAACTTCGACCGCGCTTTCAGCCACAATTTCCCCACCCACCCACCCCCCCATTTCTGGGAACGCTACCCTGCGTGAGGGGGCGCTATATAAATGCGAGTTGTTGTTGCTGTGGGAGGGAGGGAGTGGGCGGTTGGGTTGGGTTGGTTGGGTTGGTTGGTTGGTGGGTTGGGTTGGTTGGCTATTGCGGAGGTGGAGATGCAGGTCAAACGAGGCGGGAAGGATGTGGGGAGATCTGGCCCCGACCGGAGCAGGGGTTGGACAATTGGAGGGAAAAGGCTCTTAATAAGCTTGAAAAGTCGCCCGCCCGGTGTCCCAACGTCCGTACGCTCTCTGCGAGGCTCCTGCCAACTGAAAGCCATGCCGATTATTTTTTGGGAAGAGGCTGGAGGGGAGGGGAGGGAAGGGAAGGGAGGAGCGGAAAAAAGAAGAAAAGGGAAAAAGCAGGAAGGAAATGTTAGATCAGGATGGTTTGTGGTGCGGTGTTGTGATCTGTTACCAGGGTGACAGGAAGGATGAGGGTGGGCACGAGCAGCGAGGCCTTAGTCTGGCACTGATTCCAGGAACATTCTGGAAAAACAGATGTTCCAGACGAGAGCGAGAGACTGAGCGAGAGAGAGAGGTAGAAAGAAAGAGAGAAAATGAGGTAGACAGAGAGAGAGAGAGAGAGAGAGAGAGAAACAAGAGAAAGGTCCACAGAGAGTGAGAAAGATGGACAGAAGAGAGAAAGAAAGAGAGAGGGAGAGAGAGAAAAACGAAAGAGAGGCGGAGAGAAAGAAAGAGAGATGGAGAGAGAGAGAGAGGGGGAAAAAGAGAAACAGAGGGAGGGAAAGATATTTCATAAGCAGCAGGAGAGCTTCGCTGAATCCAAAATGGAATTTGTTATGGTTACAGTTTGGGAAATTTTTCCTTGTCTGCACTTAGTGTTTTCACGTTGACCACATGTAGCAGTTTAGTTCTACTTTATTGCATTGAATCCCGGCCAAGTGGAAAACTGCATCCATCTCGTTGGGTTCGGTCCAGTCATCGAGACTGGAAAAATCCGTCTCATGTGTGTAACGGGGCAGCCCAGGTACATCGTTCCCAGTGTACAGCCATGTGCAGAGAGAGCAGTGTGAATGGGTGGGTGGGTGGGTGGGGGGTAATCTACTGGTCATAGGTTGTTGGTGATTGGAGGGGATAGGAAAGGGGGCTCTGAGTTTATAAGCTGGGGAACGGAGGGGAAGTTGGGTGGGATTCAGCCAATGTTTCGCCCATAAAATATGCAGTCAGTTCACTTTGCAGTATATCCTGTGAAGCGCTTTGAGACGTCTCGAAGATGTGATAAGATTCTGCATCCAATCCAAGGATGATGATGATGATGATTATTATGATCACCGATCCCTGCTGTGATGCGAGTGTTGTGCGTGTGAGTCTGTTGGACTCGGCTCTGATTTCCTGCCCCCATTCCCTGGCTGACACTCTGGGATGCTATCCTGCGTGGGGGGGGGGGGTGATATATAATCGCATCTTGTTGTTGTGAACCCAAGTCTATGCCTTCAACGCGTAGGAGAGTCTGTTCTGGACGTCTCTTATGAATGTGATGTGCGTAAAAAGCCTTCAATGTCGAGAGGTCTCCAATCGATTTGACGCACAACGTGGGTCAAGTTGGGGCTGTGCTATTCCGCGACCTGACCACTGGAGGGTGTGTCTCTCTCAACCACACACTGACCGCTCTCTCTCTCTTTCTCTCTCTCTCTCTCCAACCTGAGCCCCACACCTCAGGATCGGTTTAGACAAAGAAGGTTCTTTGGCCCATTTGATGGCGCCTGGAGTCATTCTCCTTATCTCTCTTTAAATTCCACCAGAAAACCTACCTCTTCGACCGCACCGAGAGTCAACCTTCCAACTCCCCCCATCTCCCTTGGCCAACCCTGTCACTGTCCAGCGCTCCGAGATGCTATCCTGCCCGAATGGCACTGTGTAAATGCAAGTTGTTGTAGTCCCATTTGATGGGCGACATCTCCAACTTTGCATCGCTCGGTTCCCCCCCCACCACCACCACCCCCTTCCCCCCCCCCCCATCCCCAGCACTGGACTGGAGAGTCAGCCTGGACTGAGAGCTCAAAGCCCAATACGGGTCTCAAAGCCACAATCTTCTTACCCAGAGGGGAGAGCAAGAACGACTGAGCCAGTCTGGTCTCGGTGGCGTTTCACAGGCGGCTATCATTATGAGTTTCCCTTCCCCCTTCTGTTTGCAGTATTTCTGTACAGTACAGTTTTGGTGAAGCGTTTAAACGCAAGGCCACCCGAATAAAGTCTCCTGCCGTATTACCAAGGTCAGATATTTGGAAACAGTGAGATTACTTGTGAAAAATAGTGACCTAGCTGGCAGATTGCACTGAAATGAATGGAGATGTGTGCTTTGTGCTAACCTGCGGTGAGTGGCAGGAGGTTAGGTTTTTATCACTCGCTGGATATGTGGGGAAAGGTTTGGCTTGTCTCAGACAGAGGGGAAGTTTGCGCAGGTTTGCGGTATTTCTTAACTGGATTACATCAGAAATTCACTGTCGGACAGGGGCAGTTTCTAGAGCAGAGAAGGGTTACGAGATTCCTGTCATGTCTGGAGGG